AGAGAGCTGTCAGATTCAAATATTCTGATAACGGGTGATCTTCTGGTATAGTTCCTACTAATAACTGACGAAACATGAATCTCTTTAATGCATTCATAAATGACTCAGCAAAAGTAAGATCAAATTTATTATCTTTTTCATTAAAAGAGCAAAATTTTAATATCTCATTTTCTATTTCTTCTGTAAGATTAGCTTTATATTTCATTGCAATGCTTTCTATCATTACGTCTGCAACTTTTCCTTCGACAATTTCATAAAGTGCAATAACATGCTTGAGTTGTAAACCAGTATTCAGCACTTTTTCTAGTGCCTTATTTTCAGTGAGAACAGAGAGTTTTACCCAATGCTGAATATAATTCTTAAGTGTTATCTTTCCGTCACTGCCTGCAGTTCTTTTAACGAAACATAAAAGCAATTCCAAAGCAGATAATAGATCGGATTCATTGCCTGTTAATATTATCTCAGCATTTCCAGTACTACTACCAACTTCAGAAGGATAGCTTGATGATACTCCACCAGTGAGTAATGTCAACATTTCTTGTGGTATAAACTCCTGTTTAATCTTTTGCTTAATGTCATCCAATATAGTTGTAGAACTTTGGAACATTTCCATACAGTAGGAGAATGGTTCTAATATTAGTCCACCTGGTTCACTATGCTCTAAACAAGTCTTATTGAATATAAGATTTTTTACAAGTTCTGCTTCGATTCTATAAATATCATAAATAATTTCCTGTCCTCTACCAACATCAAGGTTGTGTTGACTATATTCTAAAAATTTTGGATTCCATTCAAAATCGATGAAATTGGCTTGTCTAGCATCTTCAAGTCGTACAGATTTGATGAGATATGGGCTGTTTGTATTCTGACCAAGCTCAGTCTGTCGCTCAATAAATTTTAATGAATGGCATGTTCCAGGTTGGATATTCATAACGTCGTGTAAGAATTCGTTTTGAAGGTTAACTAGATATTCCAACACCGCACATAAAAATATACCTTCATTCTTGCCTTCTACAAGGCCAAAGACAACTTGGCATTCCAAATTCATCTTGGGTTTTTTTCTAGGTAAATCATGGCATTGATATCTATCAATAAACGGCATTACAGCATTCCAAGAATTTGCAAATTTATCGAATGCAACTTTAAGAGAATGTTGAAGTTCTTTATGATCATTAATGAACATTTGAAATGTCATATGTAATGCATCATTTCTTTTAAT